CGCCACGCCCCCCCGCCACGCCCCCGGACACGCGCGCTGCCCCGCCGGACACTTCCACTGCAAACGAGGGTACCATCTTATTCTCTTCCTATACTACAGTTCATCGACAAAAGTACACGCGTTCTTACATTAACATTTGGTACTATTACAACGTGTTTCAGATAAACACAATGTATACAAAGTATTGGTGCATAAACAATCAAATAATTAAACAAAAGTGTATTAAAAAACAATATTGAATTAAAAAATCACAATTTAAGTGGGTAATATAAATTATATTTACATTCTTACAGTAATTAAATGACTAATTAATTAAACTACCAAAATAATACTATAAACTATATACTAAAACTAAACCAAACTAAAAATAAAACTAAATAATATAAAAAATCGACCCCAAATCGCTGCGGTCGCACGATAGGGTTCCCAAGAGGCTGGCGGCATTTCCCCGTTGGATGGCCAGGCTCAACCTTTGGCCGAAATGCGCGCCAGCCCTTGGATCCCCTGAGGCGTCGATGAGGCGTGCGGAAATCTCCTTAAACAGGCGACGGGCTTCCGCACCCCAAGGCCCCAAGGTCTCCACGGCAAAAGGCGCAAATATATACGGATATGCCAACGCCGCATATTTACGCCTTTCTTAGTGGGTAATTAAACAAATTTTAAAGTGTATTTTAGTGTATGGCGGATTCTCTTCTACAAGTTTATTTTGGCTGCAGCACTGTCGGCTTAAACAGTTATTTACCGCTTGAGAGGCATGTTTGGTGTTTTAGAAAAAAAAGCGGAACTCCTTAAAAAGTTTATTTTCTATTATATTCTTAGGCTAATGAAACCTAATTATCCACCGACAAGCGGAACGAACTTATCGGACGATCTATTACATTTCTACTTAAAACTCTTTTTACTGCATGTCTTCTTTTCTTTCTATATAGATAAAAGAAGACCGTTAGTGGTGTTAGTTACAGTATTTATAACTCAAGAACGGTTTTACCGATATGTCTGAAAATGGCGAGGAGGTAGCTTAGAGCCAGGAGACGGACATAGGATACTGTTTGTCAAACGCTATGTCAATTTAGTTTATAATATTTTATCAATAGATGGCGGAACATATTCTTTAGATCGCGATATTGATTTATCTGGTATATTTATCGACTTCCCGATCGCATTTCAATAAAGTTGACTCGCACCAAGATATAACCAGTGTTTCATTGTGACTACTCGATACTTCTCCAGTGAGAGGGAGACCTTTTTGAGAATGCTTTACATTTAATATCTTTTCTTTCATTTTTTTTCGAATTTGTGCCTTTTAAAAGCTGCTTTTATTTAACTTATTTATGCGAACGTTTAGATGGATGTGATGTGGATGGATGGATGGGTGTTTGAAGATATCTCTAGAACGGCTGAACGGTTGAACGGATCTCGGACTCATATAGAACATAGTCTGATTTAATTTTTATTATTTATCCACGCGGACGTAGTCGCGGGCGAAAGCTAGTATACGATATATTACGTTATAGATATATTGTGTGTGCAGGCCGTGCGTGGAGCTGGCGGTGGTGTGCGACGGCGACGCGGACTGCGCCGACGGCTCCGACGAGGACTCCTCGCCCACCGGACCTTGCGGTAGGCGCGAGACGCGAGACGCGAGACGCGAGTCGCGGTGCGTGGGTACAGTAGCGCCACTCCTGCGACTCTCTACATGTCGACTCGTTTGTAGCGAACGTGACCTGCAGCGAGGACCAGTTCCTGCAGTGCGACACCAACCGCTGCATCCCCAACAGCTGGATCTGCGACGGATACAAAGGTGAGCCTTCCCAACCGCAGCCACGTAATGGAATGTTACCGGGTGACATGGGTGACGTGACTGAGATGCGAGTGTGCGCAGACTGCAGCGACGGCGCGGACGAGACGGCGGGCGCGTGCTCGCGCACCACGTGCCCCCCGGCGCAGTGGTCGTGCGCGCGCTCGCGCCGCTGCCTGCCGCGCGCCTGGCGGTGCGACGGCGCGCCCGACTGCGGCCCCGGCGACGACAGCGACGAGCGCGACTGCGGTGCGCCCCACACAATCTCTTTCCTTTCTCTTTCTCTCCAACAAAGGATACAACCACATATAATGCAATACGACCAAATTTAATGTTTTTGTTAAAATGTACGAACGGTACTAATGATGGTGTGGGCGCGGCGCAGAGACTCCGGAGTGCAGCGGTGCTATGTTCAAGTGCGCGAACGGCGCCTGTCTGCCCTGGGAGTA